GCTACCTTCAGCACTGAGCTCCCTAACCACTGAACCACCAGGGAGACTCACGCCAAACCAGACCACGCTCACCCACAGATCGGCCCCGTTTTACTCCCGAGCAGCAGGTGGGGGGGTTCGCAGTGTGCACCTTGTGGTCAACAGCCCAGTGTATAACCACTGTGCCACCAGAGCTCCGGGGGGCGGGGACTAGGGCCCTAGACAAATTGTGCAGCTCTCCTCCCAGGGATGCCAAGCAGCAAAGTAGCGCTGTGGATTCCATCCGGGCAAAGGAGCCCTCTGCTACAGCATGCTCCCTGGCGGGCCTCAACCAGCTTTTACACCCAGGGTCCAGGACATCCTGACACTCTGTCCCAGGGGGAAGAGCCTGTGAGGACTCTGGCCAGGCCTGGCTCCCAGGGCTCACCCCCCACCCCCAGTCCCTTGGGCTCCAGCAAAGGCTGAGGAACGGGGTCATCTGCCACCTGGTCGCCTCATGCCCACTGATCTTCCTTCCACAGCCCGTCTGGGAGCAGCGGTGTTTCACAAAACCAGCTGGGGCCCCAGTGCCATGGCCTGCACACCGCTCACCTTCCTCTTGAGGACACCAAGCTTCTCCACCACGCCGTCCAGGAGGCTGACCACCGAGTCCACGGCAGGGCAGCTGCTCAGGGTCTTCTCCAGCTCGGCTACCACCATGGTGACGTGGCTCGTCTCTCGGTCGATGTTCTTCTGGGCAGCTCGGAAGCGCTTATTCAGGGTTTCGTAGGGCACCTGGAGGAGACACCAGAGGCTGCTAAGAATCTCTCACCAACATGTGCCCCACAGGAGAGCGGGTCTGCTCTGTCAACAACATGTCTCCTGTGGAACTCGACCGGGCACACGCAGGATGGCAGTAAACGGAGGCCGAGCCTTGGGCCTGCATGGGCAGACAGGGGAGAGAACAGATGCCAAGTCCCTGCCCTGTAGAACCACCACCAGTGCCGGAGATGGAGGCGGCAATAAAAGCTGCACTCAGCAGAGCAGTGTAGGCAAAACCAGGTGGGCGCTGCCAAGGAGACAACACTGGGGTTAAGGACTGCCAGTGACATCGGGAGCCCTAGTGGTGCTGCCAAGCACTCAGCTACCAACCACAAGTCAGGCGGGAGGAAGGCGCGGCCACGGTTCTGCACAGGAGCCTACAGAACCCCGGCTGCTCCGTGCGGCCCTTCTAGCATCCCTCAACGTCAGAATCAACTAGAAGGAGGCAATGGTTTGGCAGTTATGGGGAGAGGGATTTGGAAACCCACTGGTGCCATGACAAGGGCCTGTTCAATCCTCAGGGAGACAGTACTTACCTTTACCCTCGGTACTGTGGAAGAGCTAGCCACGTAAAACCAAGGCAGCGTCAAGCTCGGCATTTCTTCTCTGCCCTTTGAGCGAGCCTCCCGAGGCGACCACGGACCCACCACTGTGCCGACATGGTCCTGACATACTGCCTGCACCCCAGGCTGGCTGGCTAGCTGGCGGGACGTCCGCAGACAGGCCATGCTCCACCAGCGAGCATGCTTGTCTGCCCACAGCTTCCTCTTCCACATGCCCCTGAGGTCTCAGGTCCCTCTCCCAGGACTAGGACCACTGCTCCAGGCGGCGGTCAGGAAGGGAGATGGCCTGGCGACTACCACAGACATGAAGAACCTACGCATGCAGCACCCCAGCGATGTCTCTTCAGCAACTGGAAGCGGATGTTAAAGCGGGGACTCACACGGGTGCACACAAAAGGGCATGCTGGTGTGTCTGGAACACCTGTGCTGCGCACCGACGCTCGGCTCTCCTGGCCACACCCCAGTGTGTCCCAGACGAGGCTTCTGAGGGCAGCAGTAACACAGCATGCCTTGGTCTTCAGTCACGCCTGGTCCAGCATGGCCACACAGGACCATCACCGTGGCAGGGAGCCACTCCCAGAGTCACCCTCAGCCCAGAGAAGGCCGCATTAACCACTGCACAGTGCTCCAGGTACTGCCAGGGTCCAGTGTCCCTTTGGCTGCATCGGAGGCTCTGGCTCGCGGTCAGCTTAAATGGTTCGGGCGACAAGAAGGGGCGATGCTTCCAGAGGCTGGCCGGATGCCGGTGTCAACTCACACCTTGGAGTCCCAGGGCCAACCCCCGCTTTGGGAACCACACCACAGCCCACACGCTGAGCTCGCTGAGGCTGGGGGACACGGGGCTCTGTCCCAGCTCTACAATACTTTCACGGAGGTCCAAACTCATTTCCAAGAAGGAAAAAAAAAAGCCAAATGAAAGCAAGTAAAAACCACCAAGACACAAAAATGTCCTAGCTTGGCTGCCAGTGGAGATGGCCAGTGGTCTGCGGAAGAGCCATGGGGCAGCTGGTGCCTGCGCCCCCAGGGGTGGTTCTCCTCTGCCCTGTGACTCACTGCCGAGTCAATGCTGACTCATCGCGGCCCCGCGGGGCTGGGGGGCTTCCATGTGGTTCCCAACTGCTGACTGTGTGGATTGCAGCTCAGCATGCGGCCAGGACACAACCAGGGCTCCTTGCCCTGTCCTAGAGGGACACGGTAAGCTGGGATCACTCGGACCCCAAGGAGTACTTACTGGCGACGCCTACAGAGATGCAAGTGGTCAGAGGAAGGGTCCAGCTCTACAGCCTTTCAGCATTTGACGTCTTAAACCCGAGTGCAGACACTAGGTAATTCCCTGGAGAGGCATCAGAGCCCAGGACCTGGGCCCCACGCCCAACAAGAACACACTGCATCGAGGGGCTCCAGCTTCCACACACACAAGGCCTGGCCGGCCAGCGCCCTCTAAAACCACCCAGACCAGCCCTGGCTGTGCTGACATGGCCGGAGGAGCAGCCCAACCAGTGCCTGGTAGCACTCCGTGCAGCAAGGCCGTCTGCTCCACTCCCATGACCATGTTCTCACACTGGCTAGTTCAGAGCACCAACACACACAGCTGAAGACCAAGGGCAGACACGCGCCATGCTTCTTACTTCCTGGCTATCTTGCATAATGAGGCTGTGCCCATTCACCTTCAGATTTCTATGGAATTTATGTTTCCATTTCTCCGGTGTGCACACACACCCACCCAAGAAAGGAATGGCCAGATCAAATGGCCACACTATGCTTTCTGAAGAACGCAGACGTTTTCAAAGCAGCTGAACTTCCCAGCAGTAGTATCCACTTCCCCACGTGGTTGCCAACACTAGCTACTGTCCATGTCAGCAGGGATGAAGGGTCACCCCACTGTGCTGTAACCTTCCCCTAAAGACTGATGGCAATGAGCATCTTTCTGTGGCTTTACTGGTCAGCTGTACATAATTTTTAAATTGGCTTATTTTTTCCCTTGACTTATACGAGTTCTTTATATATTCTGAATCCTAGAATAGACGCTTATCGGATAGACTTACACGTATTTCCTTCCCCTTCTATGGGCTCTCTTGACAATGTGCTGTAAAGCACAAAGCCTTTCATCTTGGCTGTCTAATTAATCTATTTTGCCCCGGTGGCTTTTGCTGTAGGTGTCACAGCTAAGAACTCAGGGTCTAATCCTAGGTCACGAGGATTTTCACTTCTGTTTTCTTCTACGAAGTCAGTCTCACCTTATGCATTTAGACCTCCAATCCATGGTGGACTCTTCAAGGTGTGAGGAAGGGGTCCTACTTCATGCTTCCCCATGTGCACCGTGGTTGAAAGAGACTATTCTTTCCCCTTTAAATTGTCCCTAGCTGAAACTCAATTACCACGAACACGTGGACTGATTGCTGGACTCGGTGCCACTGTTTGTTGTTTAAGGATGGTGTAAGTAACAGTCTTGACCGCTGCAGCTGCAGCAAGTGTGAATTCTTTCTCTGCTCTTTTCCAAGAGCTTTTTCTTTGGCTATTGCGGCTCCCAATTTCCTTATGAATTTTAGGGTGTTTGCCAATTACCGCAGGAAAGTCTCGAAGGATTCTGATTCACAGAGCAGCGTTGGCTCTGTAAATCGGTCTGTGGAGCACTGCTGTCTTCCCAGTACCAGTTTTTACTCCTCAGGATTGCATCGTCTGGACGCTCCTGTAAATGATATGGAGGCTCAGCTTCCCTTGTCTCGTCTTGACTTCTGTACACTGCGCTTGCATCCAGCCACCTATCGAGCTAGTTTACGGACTTTAAATAGTTCCCCTTAATCTAGATCCCTCAGTTTTCTTAATATACCTGTATCCTATCGTTTACAGTTGTTTCTTCTTTTTCACAGGGACCTTGACAGCTTGTGTGGAGGTTCTAGCAGGGGAGTGCAGCTACTCACATACCATGGACTGGAGGGCTCTCCTATCAGGGAAGGTCGTCTTCTGCGAGTGAGAGCAGTTGGGGGGTGAGAGAGGAAGAGCACATCTGCTTAGCCAGCAGTCCAGCTGTCTGAAGCCTGGACACGAATGGGGCGACACTGTTGCAGCCAGACTGTCCTCACACCTCTTCCTTTACAATACAAACGCCCTTTACTGCTCCTGCTTAACGGCCCTGGCAAGACCCTCCAACACAATGCTGACTAGCAACGGCAGGAGGAACACTCATGCTCGTCTCGTCCCTGATCTCAGGAGTCCGCTTCACTCCCAGATGCCCTTTATTAGGCCGAGAAAGTGCACTTCTATTTCTAGTGTGTTGTTTATACCACAATGTGCTGGATTTCGTCAAATGCCTTTTCTGCGTCTAATGAGAAGAATGTGCTTGTGTCCCTTTGTCAACACGGTGTGTCACAATGACTGCCTTCTGCATCCTGAGCCAGCCTTGCATCCTGGTTAGTCGGGGCCACCATCATTTGGACAGGCTGCTGGGTTTGCTTTGCTAGTGTTCTGTTAAGCAGTTTTACATCTATGTGCACTAATAGCGAATATATTTATGCATCTATAATTTCCTTATTTTGTGATATCATTGTCTGGTTTGGTATAAAGGCGATTAATACTGGGCTCACAAAACAAGATGGGAAATGTTCCTATTTCTTCAATTCTTTGGACGAGTTTGTGAAGAAAAAATATTAACTCTATGAAACTCTGGTTCTGGGCTTTTGTGAAAAGTTTTTTATTGTTAATCAGTTTCTTGTTATAAGCTTAATTAGCACCTTCAAAATATCAGCTGCTAACCTATAAAAATGTCAGATTTTAAATAACCCAACATACCCTTTCCTTGCACTGTTTCCTGTGTAACATTCCACGGGAAGGAGGGAGTCTTCCTTATCAATTGGAACCAGTCCTTTACGGTTCCTACTTGGACTGTTTTTAGGGGGAGGGAGGAGATTGTTTATTTTTAAACTCTGGTCCTATTTGATCTGGTTAGACCATAGGTTCCCAAACTCATTTGTCCTACTGCCCTCTTTTCAGGGAAAAAAAAACTGCAGTGCCCTTCTAGTAATTAAAAACTTTTACAAACAGTCTACAATCCAGGATAAGTGAAGGGTATCTGCTTCTGTCACACTCTTGGATCATTCCAGCACCCCCAGGGAGTGGTATCTCTTTGGGGAACCCAGGTTAGATGAAAAATTTAATGGTTTAATTGATCAGATCTACTCCCCCTTTTCCGAAGTGTTGCCTGATGTGAAGTGACATTTCCTGCCGCACATCTTCCCTTCGGTGACTCACAGGCAGTCCTTCCTGTTTCCACTGCCGACTGGGATCCGTAGGAACATCTGTGCTTTCAGCAGCACCATGCAACCCTCCCACACGGTGTCACTTGCCTCCGCTTCGCCCGGGCCTGCGTTGGGATTGCTGACAGTATTTGCTGACAAGGAAAGGCAGTTTGGTTTGCCACCCTAATGCTGTCAGCCATTTCCATCCGTGCGGGAAGGAAGTGTTTCCCCCACGGAATGTGGGTTTCATGTCTTTCCCCACTAAGCAAGAAACCCGAGACGAGGTTTCTAAATATTGACCACATTCCCCAAGTGTTGGGTTGTGCCCATGGCAGTGCACATCCCTCTGCGTTCTGGAACGCACTGTCGTGGATCTGGCACGCTGGCCTTGTGCTGTCAGAGCTGGTTTCCCCAAGCGCAGACTCGGGGCAGCCCCCACGGGCAGGAGTGCCCCCACACTGGACGGCAACCACAAGAGCAGAGTTGGAATCCACCATCTGCTCTGAGAAAGGAGGAAGGGGCTCTCAGCCCCATCAAGATTCAAGGTCCTTCTACCCAGAAGTCGCCTCAGGAAAGGCCAGTACAAGGAAAACAGGAACCGGAGCTGCAAGCTGGTGCAGTCCCGCCCTGCCCCCTGGAAGCAAGCCCGGGATGGGAAACGCCAGGGCCCTGCTCCACACTCCCTTGGGATAGACAGCTCATGGCCAAACACCTCTCACTAGTACAGGCCGGCACCAGGTCAATCCTACACACCCTTTCTCCTTAGGCAGTGGGGTTGCAAGTTTAAGTGCAGCCGTCAGCCAAGGTCTTGCTCTGGGGAGCATGCAGACCAAGCCCTAGGGCAGCTGGGGGTAGAGCACGTAGGCAGAGCTAACAGGAGGCGGCAGCGGGGTGGTGTGTTGGGGTGGCCGCAGAGAGGCCAGTGGTTAAGGAGGGTGTGAGGGGGGAGGGGGGAGGAGGAGGAGGAGGAAAAAAGAGAATGTCAGGGCCTGGAGGGCTGGGCAGGATGGTGGCCCTGCTCAGGGAGGTGGTGAGAAGTGACCAGCTGGCATCTATGTGCTGCAGCTGGGGCTCTCTGGCTGACGCCAGGGCTGTGACCTGAGCTAAGCGGGGAGGAAGAGGAGCAGGGCGAGGGGGAGGTATTTCAGAGACTCCAGGGGAGACGGCTTACAAGATCCTGGGTGCAGGGCCCAGGGTTCAAGTTCCCACGAGACAGGGAGTGCGCAGACTGTGGACTCAAAAGACTCCAGGCAACGGCGGCCTGCTGCAGCCAGGGATCAACATCAAGGGAGGTTGAGACCATACCACAGGGTCACCTGGCGCCGGAGGTGGTGCCACTCGGTGAGAAGATGACTGCAGGACTGCTTCCTGCAGTGAGCCAGGCAACAGCCCCACGGATGGGGCTGGGAACCAGGCCCTCCAGGCCACAGGGGAGTGGGTCAGGAACAGCTATACCCTGGCCCCTGGGCAGTTCCCTCGGTGGGCTTAGATGACACCAGGGGACGAAAGGGAGGCCAAGCTCGGAGAAGGAATTTTCCAACCCCACAGCCATGAGGCTGATTTAGCCAAAAGCAACTTGCTGAGCTCTGGAGTCTGTCCTGAGAACCCAGTTGTGGACAAGACCAGGTACCTTGAGGGAGGGGGCAGAGGCCTAGCGGGGCGGGGAGCAGGCGTCTCAGGGACACATGCAGACAGCAGCAGGGGTGCTGCCAGAGCACCCAAAACTAGAGATAGCTGGGGCACTCGAGTGTGATGGTGGAACAGAGGGCTGCCTGCAGGAAGCTGGCCTCTCCTGCCCTCCTCCCCGCAGCCCGCGGAATGTGAAGGCTGGCACTCCAGCG